TATTGATAGTTATTGAAGTTGTCATTTGATTGAAAGGTTAATAGTGTAATAGAGGATGATAGCTCTGCGTATTACCCATGTATCCAGGAGGCATTTTATTCAGTCCGTCGTTTAAGTTCTTGTTGCCTTGATTGCGCTTTTTTTTTTATTGATTTTAGTTGTGATGGTTGGTCCTATCATCCTTTCTTCTCTTTTTCAGTTATGTTTTATAATCAATAAGCTTGTCATATAGTTCTTCAAATGACATTGGTGTGTCGCGTGCTCGAATTGCTGTCGTAAATTTCTTATTTTCTTCTCCTAGACCATTGAGAGTATGGATAATGACTTTTTCACCACTCATAGAATGATCTATTAAAGTCAAGTCATCTATAATAATTTTTATAGTTTGCATATAATCAATAATAGTACTGATCAAATCATGTCAATATTGACCAGATCATGATCCGGTGGAGTCGACAAATCATGTCAGCATTGGTTGAGGTAGTAGATCAACATTGTTGGACTGACCAGATTTGTTGCGTTATGCTGATGGCTACATATTTGTGAGCAGTGAGAGAGATCGACAACACCAAGATGCGTCCGGTGGCTAACTTCGAAGTCAGGGAGCAACTGCCCCATGAACGTCGCTCCACACGATTGTCACCTATCTCGATCCCTATTGCGAGGTTCGCCATTGAGGAAGAACAGGGTGATCGAGGTAGAGAGTGTTGGGAGTAGTGATTTGGGGGTAGGGAATGCCACCTGAGGAGGAGGAGCAGTAGTAGTGAAGATGAAGAGCAACATTGGTGAGTGAGCGGTAGAGGTGCCACAACGAGAAACTGGTCGCAGTAGAGGAAGGAAACTCCTCAAATGCTCTACCTTAATGTGGAACAACCAAGGTCACATAGTGGCAAAACTAGGTCCCCAATCACTAGTTAACAGGGAAGGGGGGATGTCGTCGGGTGAGCAAATATTGCTTCGCCGACAAAGAGCACTTCGAGGTAGAGAGCGCTCGGTGAGGAAGAATAGGCGGGTGCTTTGTCGGTGTGGAGGATCGACTGCGGTAGAGAGGAGGAAGGGCGAGCGTTTGAGGCTGAGGGTAGCATAGCAGTTCTATGAAGAGAGGACAGTGTTGTCGTTACAGCGACGACAATAGATCAATGGTGTTTGATGTAGATCGACCACAAGAACCAGCAAGGAAGCAAGGGGTGAAGTCGTCGAGCAGAGAAGGAGACAATAGATCAATGGTGTCAAGAATTCTTGCTCAAGGTAAAAGGACTATAATACTATGAAGAATTTAGATATTATAAAAGAGATGATAAATATTCATTGAAGTGATGAGTAGCTTTGAAGGAGAGATTTTCGGTTTCATGATCAATCAGTTATTAAATATAAAATTATCTCTATCATAACCTTCGTGATCTTCTACCAAAAAGTAGCGGTTATAAGCGCCCATAGACGTTTAAGCCGACGGGTGCTAAATGTTTGAAGGAGAACAACAAAGATGATGTGCTACTCATGAGTTGGTGGTGAAATAAAGTAACGTGACAGAAGGACCAGTTTGATTCACAAACAAAGAAAAACGTAAATAATCAATTTGTTTAGAGCTGGCTGCTGAAGAAAGCTTGCTCTATCAGTGCAGAGGAGTACGATCAGGAGATAGTGATTGGCACTTTTGGTTTTGGCTGTCATTTACTACTAGAGGCTGCAGAAACAAGAGTAACATGCAGAGATCAGCTTCACTTATCATAATTCTATCATATGACAAGAACTGTCCAGTTTATCAAGATGAGATTAGTAGACAAAGAAGAACATGCAAAGCTTTCTACGAATAAGTGAAAAAAAGAACTGATCTTACATTTCTGACATTTGATTTTATTTCTTTAGGTGATTGATTTAAAGCAGTCCAATGATGAGCAGTTGATCTGACTGGATTATAATAGATCAAAATGATGTTGCAATGGGAATAAGATCTGTGCAATACTAACTAGTAAAACAATTTTAGGAACATCTAACATGCATAAGTTTTCTAAATTACTTATTGCATCATTTGCACTTCTTCTTTCTGAATTATTTGCACGACCTAACAATTTATTATTTTTATAGTCCAAAATCATGCACAATTAAGATTTTAACTACCGCATCCATTTATCTGAACATAAATTACTCCCATGCTTTGCACATAACTTGTTGGATTACCGCACCATGCCGCATGGCCTGCCTGTGTCAATCCAAATAAGCTTACCCTTATGTCGAGCACTAAGTAGCCACGCTCGGCTTCCATGTATGGCTATGGTTGCTTGATGTAAGGAGATTTAATATTTGTGTGACGTCTGATGGGATGTGATAATTGATCTGAATTTGAATTAGGCAATCAAGTTGCTTAAGTCTAAGTTAATTGTAATAAATCCATCATGTTTATGAAAGTCGATTTAATATTAGGACATGATGAAAAATTTCAATAAAACAAATTAATCATAAATGAAATTAAAAGGTATCGTAAAGTCACCGCTAAGGTAAGCCTCATATGCATCATGTTATTTAAACATCATAATATCATAAACTAAAGTGGATAATAACTTAAATTGACTTAGAGGTATAACGATTTATTATGGTCTTAGTTGGAATTACCTAAGGCGTGAGGTACCCTTGCGGCAAAGACGCGAACTTAGCTTGCGTTGCCTAAGTTGCGCTTCGCCCTTTACGATTTGCATCCGCAAAGATCAGCCCATTTGTAACCTCTCGCAAGTCCCAAAGGACTTGTAAAAAGAGAAAGTTGATTAGTTCGAAGAACGAGCGATGGATAAGTCCTGACGTCTCGCGAAAAGGGGAAGCTTTACAAGCAATTCAGCGAGCACCTTACGTGCACAAGAGAAAAGAGGGAGATGGGGAAAACAAGGATTTTAGAAGGTTGAACGAACAGCTGCAAGTCCACAAACAGCTGCTCACCGGGTGCCGGGCGCAACAACAAGTTTCCGTCAAGGTAACGTTCGAACTTGCGAAAGATTGTTCAACACCCGACACTATACTGAAGCCTCATCCAGCCTTGTGCCACCCGGGTGGTTCTAAGGGGCTGAGATGGCTGACGTTTTGTGAGCAGAAGCGGACTGCAGAAAACAGCCCGTGGCACATGAAAACGAAGCTGTTTTGGGGCTGTTTTGCTCGGTTCGGTGAGCGGTCGCTTTGTAGCGTTGCAACTTGTTCGAACTTACATTTTTACAAGCAAAATGACTCAAAACCAAGACAAAACATGCTGCCAAGTAGCTGTATATATAGATGAGAGTGACGAACGATTCGTTGAATGGGGTTGTTGCGGGTGCGCGACAACCATTCATGACAGATTGTTAACTTAAACTTAAACATTTTGGATTAATAGTTCAATCACGATTATAGAGGCCGGGCATTGTAATATTCATTGTAATATCCAACATTTCTTTAAATCGAGTTTCCAATTCATAATTGAATCCTGAAATTTCTACAGCTATTTTGCACACAATCTCAAATTTTAAAATATTAAATTAGCCGGTGGATTTCACAAAATTGGACAAGGTGTTGTTTATCCAAGTAATGTGGGTATGCACTTGAAATTGGATGTATAAAATCTGATACCAAATCCTATATTATTGTTAGAATCGAATCAGCAATTGGATCAAAATCCAAGGTGAACCAATTCTGATTCCAATCCAATAACTCTCGGATGCGTATAATTTCTAAATACATCTTATTCCTCAGAGAACAATTTGATGAGAATTGGCAATTTTTTATTTAAATTTTTATGAGAAATCCTGTAAATCTTCATCCAATCGAGCGACATAACCAACTTTGCACCCTTCTCTTTGCAATTTAATCTCATTATTCATATTAAGCGTAATTCTAGGACATATCTCCTATAATCAAACTCATTATGAGAGTTTGATGGTCAAGAGTCCAATGAATTGCATGTGTCCTAAGCTTGATTTATACATACATATAATTGATAGCTGTGAACAACATAGCCATGGCATTGTTGGTGTGAAATAGCCATGGCATTGTTAGTGTGAAAGATGATTTGATCTGCCAAGAACAGTAAAGGGAAAACTTCTGCTTCCGAGTATAACACCCCTGATTAGTCCCACATCGAAAGTGGGCAGGATTAAGATTGACTTATAAGAGTCTGATGAGTGTACTATTATCAACTTCAGCTTAAGCATTTTGGTTAGTGGTTTAGACTAAACGAAGTTGATAGGTTAGTTAGCCCATCAGGCCCGAGCCACCATTGGGCTACGCCTCACATGCATTATGCTAAGGTTTGATCTGGGTTATGTAGGAGCTTGACGTCTTCGTCAAGCCTTTGAGTGAGGATGATTGTAACACCCCTGATTAGTCCCACATCGAAAGTGGGCAGGATTAAGATTGACTTATAAGAGTCTGATGAAAGATTGAATGGCACAAAAAGCTATCAATCAGAATATATATATATATATATATATTTTCTTCATGTATCAATTAGATTTTCCACTTAAAAACATATTTAATGTTTCAAGAAATATGAGCACATGAACATATTCTAAATGCTAGATTTTGCAAGTAGAATATTATTCTAATAACAACATTACAGATTATGATTGAGGTCAGATACATATGTGAATTTCATACAACTAATATTCATTGTTTTTAACTTGGAGGCAGTCTACAACCTGTTGGAGTTTGGACTGCTTCAATCTGTTGAATTTGCAAAGAAAGAGTTACATCTATTGTCTAAACACCACTGTGTGCAAAATCCAATAAAAATGTTGGAGGAGTTAACATATGCTCATCCTGATTCATATACAAAACACATGAGAAGTAATAACTTTAATATCATGGGAGAATTGCCAACTCACTAGTGCCAGATGCAACCTTTGAACCTAAAATATAATATGGTTCACATACTTTTGCCCTAGAAAACATATGATATTGTGCAAGCTAAAAGAGTCCCACAAGGTAACCAGGCATAGTAGGGCATGGCTAAAATAAAAAAGTTAACAATAGAGAAGAATCTGGAAGAAAAATTGCACCAGGACTATTGACTTTGTCAGAAGAAAGCATAGCATGTTTTTTCATGCATAAGTATATTCCATACAGATGATATATGGGACACATGAAGAATGCCTATTGCAACCATAGGCATAAATACTTCTCTTAAAGCCTTTTACAGTGATTAGAAACAAGAATGGTTAGTGCTGCTAAAAGCACTGGATAACCTTGATGGACTGTTAGATTGACAAGTTCCAGTTACTACTGTGTAAATTCTGGCACACAAACTCTCACACCAACCCTTAAAGCAGTTGCCCATCACAGTCAATAACTCGATATAACCTTTTTCCGATCTCTTATCCACATAATAACTCAAGTTAGCAAGTATGATAACTCAGAAATTGAGTAGCAATCCATTCTTTACCCATAGTCAGACCAATGATAGGATTTAGCATAGTGTTCATTGAGAAGTGCATGTTATCATCTAGTCTTCTAGAGTTGCATCACAACTTGAATTGCATAGCATCCATGATGACTCCTTGGTGCAAGGAGAATAATTGATGGTTTGCAAGAAATTAAAGTATGCATACTTAATATCAAACACCATGTCATACCCTGAAATAGAAAGAAAAAAGGAAAGAAAGACCAATTAGCCAGCAATCTTTAATTGCACATGGTAGAAAGAAAAACAGAAACAGACTACAGAATTCATCAGACATGGATCTGTATATGTACAAGCACTAGTAGTACATCTACTTACAGTAATTAATAGCAATTGTCTTCCCATTGCAGTCAGGTGTTTGCCTGACATGATGAAACCACATACTTGGCCTGCATTATAATTGACAATTGTTTTCAGTCGATCAGATTTTAACTAACTCTAGTATCATTCTTTGCAATGAGAGCACAACATTTGTACTAAAGTTTTCATTCATCAAAATTCAATCTAAATTGATTGATATTTTAGATTGTTCTCATGTACAAAGCAAAGTATTTTTCCTTAATATATGTGGACTACAAACTTCAAATTAAAGAGAAGTCAAATTGATAATTTTGAGCTGATCATCCTCACCATGAAATATACAGCAGGCATATGAGAATCAAAATTGCAAGTCAAGATAGGTTTTTCAGTGCCAAGGAGAGAAGAAGAAGTAACTATATAGGAAAGGCACTCTTGAGGGGGCAAAAAGAAGCATATTAATTTTGCAGAAAAACCTATCTTTAGAAAAGGATTAGCTTTATGGAAACAGTGTAACACATTCTTTAGAGCAGGTAGCTAAGGTGGTGCTTACAGGTAGAGCATCTCCCCTGCTTCAAGAGTGCATTCGAATGGCCTAGGGCCCTCGAAGTATAAAGGGAAGGATGACCTGTGCTCCGCCATGGCCTCCGGTGATGGAGGGTATGGATCGACGCTACACCAAGGAACAAGTGTCTCAGGCTCCAACATTTCCAGCTTCAGCTCTCCCATATCCTGCAGCACATCGTACCAATAAGAAGAGAACAAGCTGAGGAGAACGCAGTGGCCAATACAGGGAAGAGTACCTCAGAGGAGGAGGAGGTTCTGGCGACATACTGGGCGGCAGGATAAGAGCGGACGTAGAGGCGGTGTGCCTCAGTGGGGGGCAGCAGGAGGAAATGCTTCTTGCCGGTCACCACGACGTAAAGGTTCTCGTAGTGATCCTTGTGGAACGACGTCTCCGACCGTCCATTGCCGATCCACAGGTTGACTGCCTCCGGGAGGCAAGCGAGCGCCTCGGTGGCCCATGGGATGTGCGGCTCCACGTCCGCCGCCAGAGCCGAGTACTCCGCCCGGAAGCAATCGTGCTGCTGCTGGGCGTAGGCTACGACCGGGGAGGACGGCGATCCAGTGGCGGCGATTAGGTGGAGGGCCTCTGAGAACTCCATGCTCCGGGAGCAGGCGGTGGCGAAGCAGAGGCCCCGGCCGCCGCCAGGCGCGGACGGCAGGGGGACGAGGGAGTCAGCGCGGCCATGGGGGGTAAGGTGGACGGAGACGGAGCGGCCGTTGAGGGCGCGGCAGAGATAGGCGTCGTCGGACCAGAGGGACCGGCCGATGGCGGGCCAGTGGAGAGTGGCGGCGCGAGAGATGACGCAGGGCTTGTTGGCGGCGACGTAGTCCCGGAGGAAGCGAAGCGGCGTGGGCGGAGACTCCAGCCTCTCCACCTCGCCGGAGGTGCCGAAGCTTAGCTCCCGCGCCTCTCTCCAAAGATCCCTCAGTCGTCGCTCCTCCATCCCCCGGTCTCCGTCGCCCGTTGACGGCGGCTCTCACATGGGACGGCCACCAAAATGTAGGGAAATTAACGGGTCGGATTTAGTTAAAAGGAATCGAATCCGATTTGATATCGCAACCCGTTGTTATGAACGAGGATCCGCTAGGAACCCGATCGCCTGTCTTCATCCGTCTCCTCTTCGCTGTACTCTCGTCAACGACCATATTTAACGACGACGACAACGCCGCACCGCTCCGCCACACCCGCGACGTTTCCCCTCGTATCGGTTCCCGCCGCTTCCTTCCCTATTAAAAGCCCCATTTGGCAACGACCGCCATTAATAAATTCGCGCCCTCGGATCCCTAGGGCTCGACCTCTCTCGATCTACCCCCTCTCTTGCGGCGGCGCGGCAACGGTTTCGGTTCGGGGATAGAGTTATAGCCACCATGAACGGCGACAAAGATAGCAACCTAAATCTCTCCGATCTCAGCTCCGCCCTCCCCTCCGCGTCTCGCACCGGTCTCTCCGCTTTCTTGATGTATTTCTTCTGTCTCTGTTTTTCTTTTTATGCTTATCATTTCTAGGTGTATGTTGTTTGTGATGCGTAGCTCTAAGCGCGAGGGACAGAGCGGGCGTGGTTGAGGCTATAAAGGTGCGTCCTTTCTCCACTTTTGCCCCTCTATGATTCCCTTATATGCCTTTTCTTTGTTGTTTGTGTGTGGTTGACGTTAGGATTTTGATTGTTGGAGCGCAGAGTAAGGTTGAGGGTCTAGCGGAGCAGCATCCGGTTATGTTGGACAGTCTCGCCCCTAAGGTCAGGAAGCGCGTCGAGGCCCTTCGGGCGATCCAGGTCCCTTTGTTTCTCCTAATGCTTAATCTTTGGGACGATTCCTGTTTGTCTCCTCCTCTCTTCCTCTCTATATGTAGATTATATATTCTGTTTAAGATCTTTGTTTGGAGATAAATAACAGCATCTTTTATACTTTGATAGCTTGGTGTCTTTGTATTCTACATTATTAGATTCTTGGTTGTTTGATCACCTAAGGAGACAGTATCCGGTGTTGCATGGAGAGAATTTGCCCTTGTATATGGACTACATTTTGCTTTTATTTAATCCTTATCCTCTCAGCTGCTACTGTGCTTTGGTTTTTTATGCTAGTCATCAGCCATTGTGAGTTCTTGAGGGTAAAAAGGGATGTTAAGTAGTGCAAAAGGGTATGCTTGGAGAGAGAAGAGAAATTTCTGTACAGAAGGAACGATATATAAGTTACTTTTAGCAAGTGGAACCTGATGATTGTGATGATTTGTTCACCTTCCAACACACAGGTCTATTGATTAATTCTGTAACTTGGGACTTAGTAATGATCCAGTATAGCGATGCTCTGGAATATGGTATATCACATTATCTTTTAGTTGCATGTTTTTGTTTCTTTTGTATGTGTGATGTTTAAATGTATGCTAGCATGAACTTGATGTTCTGGTATCTCCCTATACGGTTACTTATCCTACTTACACCTCTTGTCTTGTGATTAAGTTCTGAATAATTCCTTCAAAGTGTTAAATATCTAGTTCATTCTATGTTATATTTCATTTTCTTTTGTTTTCATTCATTTCCTTTTGCCTCATATTTTGAATTTCAAAAAAGGAATGAAGTTTCCTTATCCATTTCTGAATTGCAAGGTACTTCAGTGTTTAAAATTTTACTTGCTTTGCCGGCCTCTTTGTTCTTGACATAGAAAAGCATTTTGAGTTGATGAGTCACATGCTTCCATGTCTTAAAGAAGAGAAAGAAAGGAGGGACCACTGACATGATCTTAAGTCAATCAGGTGGCAGTGGTGATTTCAATAATTGACTCCAATGAATTCCTTATCTCAAGTTAAAGAATATTTTTAGGCTCAGCAGGGGTTCAAAAAACCAGAGAGCACAGGTTAAAATCTTATGCAGAACCGTGAAGGTCTAATTTTCAGCTCTAGGCTCATAATGGGTGCTGAGATATAATTGTTGCTTCTGTTGATGACTTAATGGTGGACATTGACTTGTCCATGAGTTTATCTCAGAAGGGTGACTTAAGTGATAGAACACTGCTATCTTGGTGGACTGAATTTTTGTTAGGGTAATGGAGCTCCTCACAGATCTGATATATGGAACCCATGTCTGTGGATCTGGTTTATCCGGCCTGTGAGGAACCACATCGTTGCTGGCGAATTTGCGGGCGAATGGTCCATCTAAATGGCTTTCCTAATTGATAATATGTAGCTTGTAGTGCTGATATATTATGCACAATGTTAAGCTGCTTGAATTTGTAGGTTAGCAACCAAGGTTTGTATCTTGTCAATGATGGTAATTATGTCTTAATTAAAACTAGTACTTTAGATTTTGAATAAAAACATAACAAACTTGTATGAAAATGATGAAAAAAACTTTAGAATTGATAAAGCTAGGAGGATACTTATGCACGTTAATGAGTTCGGGTGATGAAAAAAAGCACCAAAAGCATATGAAGTTGAAGCTGTCAGGAGTGTGCTAATAGAAAAAAGAAGACTGTTGAATCAGCAAGATAGTGGTTTTCTTTTAGCATTAGCAACAGCAACAGCGTATATGAAAAAAAAACAATTGTCCCTAAAACAAAGAGTGATTTTAGTTGTTGGGCTAATGTGTCAGGAGCAATTGGCTACATCTAAGCTGATACAATAGAAAGCACAGAATACTCTAATATGATAAGTGCAACCAGGCAACCAATTGTATGCTGTTTTGGAAAGTTCTGTAATTCAAAATGGTGCTGCGCAAGACAGGATAAATATCTGTATAACCTGAAGTAGTCAAAATCTGTACAACTCTTTGAAAGGCCAGGGCAAAAGGCCTAGGCCTGCACAAGACAGGAACAAAGACATCATTAACTTATATAAGCTCATATATATAACATAGATACCATCTGAAATTTCATGGATATTGTGTTTGGATGTTACATCTGAATGTAAGACTTTCTTATGATTCTGAAATCCAGAATATATGCAATTTACATGGACTTTTGTTATCTTTCTTCAAACATCTCCTAGAGTGAATTGGAGTATTCAGATGTAGAACACCACAGGCATCTGGCTTGTCTGCTTTAAAATGTTATCAACTTTGCATCTAAATCAAATGCTATTACATTATGTTTGAAACTGATGCAAAAATCTTCTGTTAGTACAAGCATCATTATAAAAATCTCTTCTCGTTCATGTGTGTATCTCTGCATCACATCTTTACATATAGGTAGCATTCAAGTGAAGTGAAAGGACAATGTATTGATAGAATATGAGAGTTTGGTTGAATTCTTATGGTAGTTTACTTGTAGAGCCAATATGATGATTTGGAGGCAAATTTTTTTGTGGAGAAAGCAGCTCTCGAAGCGAAATACCAAAAGCTCTATGAGCCACTATATATAAAGGTATTATCCTATACTCATGTATCATTTCTTTAGTTATCTTATATGCAGGCTTTCATATTTAACATAATATCAGGATATTCTTTGAGGCTGTCTGTTTGCAGTTGTAGTCATCTTTGGAATTTTAAATCCCATGTTGTTAGGTCTTAAGGATTTGCTGCTGCTGCTGTTGATTTTCTGTTGTCTTTGGAACCCAGATTTCTTTTTTAGAAACTTTTATTGAGAGATGTAGCTTTGGATGTTTTACTTTCTTAACAAGCTCTTAACATTAAGTCTGCTAGTCTGATAATTGTATTTTCCCTGCATTCTCTTTTTTATTTTGCTGCGTGTCATTCAGCGGTATGAAATTGTTAATGGTGCGGTTGAAGTTGAAGGTGTTACAGATGAAGCTTTAACTACGGATGCTACTGAAGGTTTTAGGCTTACCTTTTGCAATATAATCTTTTTATGTTGATAATTTGGCTGCTGATTATGATCCTTTTCTGCAGAAAAGGGTGTGCCAGATTTCTGGCTCACTGCAATGAGAACAAATGAAGTGTTGGCTGAGGAGGTAACTTGGAGGCAACATTTTCTTGTTGCCTTTTAAAATTGATTTTTAACAAGTTTCTTATTTCTGTATTCAGATCCAGGAGCGTGATGCAGGAGCTCTAAAGTTCCTCAAGGATATCAAGTGGTGTAGAACAGATAATCCAAAGGGATTTAAGCTTGACTTCTTCTTTGATGTCAATCCTTACTTTAAGAACTCTGTCTTGACAAAAACGTATCAGATGATTGATGATGATGATGAACCAGTTCTGGAGAAAGCAATAGGGTAACCTTGTGTTATTATGGAACAACTGTTTCTTATCAATTTCTTATATTATGTTTCCCATCACAGTAACATCTGATGGATTTTGTTTAGGACTGAAATCGAATGGTATCCTGGGAAATGCTTGACGCAGAAGGTTCTGAAAAAGAAGCCAAGAAAAGGATCAAAGAATACCAAACCTATCACTAGAACTGAAAATTGTGAGAGCTTTTTCAACTTCTTCAGTCCACCTCAATTCCCTGATGATGATGATGATGATGATGAGATTGATGAAGATACTGTAAGTTAGCTACATTTTCTCTTCATTGGGAAAAATGAAACAAAATTCAAGGAGCTTGTATGCCTAACGTCGTCTTTCTTTTGCCATTTTCCTCAAATAGGCTGAGCATTTGCAGAATCAACTGGAGCAAGATTATGATATTGGGTAAAGTTTTTTCTTTTTCTCTATCTTGTTGGCTTGCACCAAGCCACCAACACATTTATCATTTTCAAACCATGATGAAATTTTGTTCAGTTCATTGCCAATGAAATTGATGACTATATCATTTCTTTTGAGCTTTCTTCGTGATGTGGTTGCTTTTGACCAAGGTTCACTTTTTATTGGTAGCTGAAGAAAATTCTTGACATTTGAGTAGATCTTTTTAGTGGTATGATGCTGAAGCAGGTTTTGATTGTGCAGAACCACAATAAGAGACAAGATCATTCCACATGCTGTTTCGTGGTTTACAGGAGAGGCTGTTCCGGAAGATGATTATGAAGACATGGAAGAGGATGATGATGACGAAGATGGAGCAAATGATGAGGATGACAAAGAGAAAGGTGAAAACG